ATACAAGTTAAAAATTATTTTATAATAAAATAATTTATAATTAAAATAAAAAATATGTCAAAATTGAGAGATTGAATTGGGAATTTATCTTTTTTTAAAAAAAATTATTAAATTTTGTTTTATAAATAAATATAATTTAAATTTCTTTAACCTAGTTAAAAATACATTTTAATTAGTATTTAGGCTTAAATTAGGACCCATTTCCACATGCTATAAACTATAATCATTTAATCTATGATGAAATGGCTAAACCTTAATTCTTAATTTTAAATTAAAAGTGATAACCTATAAGTAAACTTTAAAATTTACCTATGAATATCATGTCTCAAATCACTTCAAAACTATGAAAAAAATCTATGAAGTTAATTTGTTCAACTCAGTTAAGTTTGATTGGTCAATATAATAAATTAATCTCATTGACTAATAATAAAACCCAATTTTAAAATCTGCTAATGTAATTTTTTCAAAACAATTCAATTATTAAGTAGTATTTAAATTTTTTAATTAAAAAATGTAATCACTACTTTTGTAGCTATAATTAAGAGATGAGTATTAGGGTGAGTCGTCTTTAGTCTACCCGAATGGAACGAATAAAAACTCATGATTAATGAGGTATGGATTTAATACCTTATCCTTCACAATTGCCCCCATTATTGGAATTAATAAATTTTTAATTTTATTTTTCACTGCTACTCAAATTAGTTGAATTTTGATTGATAACTTTTTAAATATTGTATTTTTATAATATTAATTTATATTTGTTATTTAAAATTATATTTTAATTTAATAAATACTTAATAGTTTTAACTAAAATTATTTAAATATTTTTAAAACAAAAAATTGGTAGGTAGAACAGATAGTGGGTAAAAATTTTTACCCAAGGGGTATATAGAATGCTTTCTACCTATTTTAGATATAGAACATATGTATCTATATTCGTATTAGCGAAGCGTGCGTATAAAAACTGGCATACTTGTCAGGCACTCATCTCTACTTGTAGTAATTACCTTTTTATACTTTTAATTGATTGTCATATTTTTTATTGCGTACAAATTAGACTAGATATAGGTACATTAACAATTCGATTTAAACCAGGCAACTATACCAAATTAGACTAGATATAGTTTAGTGTAATCTTTTTTTTTTTTTTTTATAAAAAAGTTAAAGAATAAAAACTATCAACTTAATCTAAATCTAACATAACAAAATTTTTTTAGAGATTGGATGTATTATTATTTATTTTATTAAATATATATTTGATGAATGATTATATTTTATAAATTTATTGTTTATTTTTAATTAAAAATAATATTTAAAAAAATTATTTCGTTTTTGTTTAATCTAAAGTTATGATACCCAAAAATTTAAATCCAATATAATCTAATTAGATCGAGTTTCAAACTAGTAAAAATTCTAAAATATAATTTGGTAATATGAATTTTATTTATTACCATAAACATTTGACTAAAAAATAATGTTTGTTATAACACATGAAAAATCTGATAAAGTAATTATTACATTAAAAATAAAACAAAAGTAATTGTTATGAATTTAAAATACATTTATCAATTTTTATTTTTTACTATCGAAACATTATTGATTTAAAATAATTATTATCTTTTATATGAGTATTTAACTTAATAGCATAAGAATTTTTTGGTAGAGTTAATAATTTGAATTTAATTTTTTTTTTATCTAAAAAATAAAATAAATTATAATTAAAGTTCTCTTCTCAAAAAAAATTCTTCATAAGATTTAATATTTTAAAACGGCACCGGTTTTAGAACGGCAGCCATCATCCAAAGTTTTTCCGTTCCCTTTGGGTCGGGAGAGTTCTTTTGTTTGGACCCTAAAATTTCAAACCTCCTTGGCGAAAACGCATAAAATAAAAAATAATAATAAATATAAAAAAGTAAACGAGTTATCGACTGACACGTCAAAGTTGAGGAATGAACGGCCACGATTCTCCCAACGGGAGATCCAATTTCATTGGTTCCAATAACTCTCTCCCTAAATCTGATTGGTCCACGTCATCCTCGATGACATGTTCGCTCGTGTCGCTTCCATGGGTCTTTAGACTTATGCTTCTGCAAGTTAAATGCGGGCATCTATAAAAGCCCAGTTTCTGACCCGCTATTTCATTGAAAACCAGAAACAGAAAGGCTTCTTTAAAAACTCGCTAACGTTCTCTAGAAAGGACGAGATACCAAGAGCAAGTGATTATCAGAGAGAGAGGGAGGGAGAACTTTTACGCGATGGCTAGCTCATTGAGAGCACGCGGGTCTCTGGTGGTACTAGCAATCATCTTCTTCGGTGAGTGATTGATTTTTCTATCAGAATTTTGTTTGGATCTGGTTGTACTAGGCTGTTACTTGTTTCTGAGAAAAATGTAGTAGATCTCTCCATACAGTTTGAAGATCTGTTTCTGCTCGGAAATCGATGCATGCATATTCTAGTTGATCTCCGAGATTGTTGCGTTTTCATTTAATAGATTTGGTAGTAATATCAGATCGTTAAATTTTTTGAGATCTTAGAGCTGGAACAGTGTTCTGATTCGTTTGAATATCACATTTGTTTTACTAGAATGGTTCTGAAATTGTTCGAGAAATGTATTCGTTTCGTTTGGTAAAGTTTCTTGTCACAAATTGAGTTGAAATGAATGAATCTGGATTTTGAAATCTATGCTTAACGCTGTCTGCCATTGGTGAAGGATATTAGTTTCTAAGGAAGTAAATCGAGCATGGTGCTATTATGCATAGCCGTAGGCTTTTTCCATGAACTTGGTGGTTTTATTAATTGTAGTATGGTTTCTCTTCGAAAATTATTGTAGGCACAGTTTTGATTTTTATCCTTTCAGTACAGCGTGAGGGTTTCATCTATCTGCGTACTGGTAGCTTCAAAATGGACTTACGCAAGCTAATTATAAAAGATAATTACGGCTATGTCCATAACTGGAATAGCCAGATTTGACATTTTGAAGTTATTAAGCGTTTTCTAACTTGAGAAAGCACTGAAAGTTTGTCTGTATTTCAAATTTGTTTAATACACATGATTAATTTACCGCTGTCTGAAATGGGCTTGCCAAAGAAACTTATTTATCATAAAAAAGTGGCCGTGGTGTTTCTTTATTTCGTGTGGGGTAGATAATACGCATTTCATTTTCAGAATGTTTCCTTATTGGTATTGGTTGAATTCTGTAACAGGATGTCTCGTTGCAATTTCCATTGCAAAGGAAGAAGCCACCAAATTGGGAACAGTCATTGGGATAGATCTTGGTACAACTTACTCCTGTGTCGGTGTATACAAAAATGGTCATGTTGAAATCATAGCCAATGACCAGGGAAACCGTATTACCCCATCATGGGTAGCTTTCACTGACAGTGAGAGACTGATTGGTGAGGCAGCAAAGAACCAGGCGGCTGTCAATCCTGAGAGGACCATCTTTGACGTGAAAAGGCTTATTGGAAGAAAGTAATGCTCTTTCTGCAAATTTTTTCCAGTGTTTGATACAGTTATCTGATGAATTAAATAATTCATAAGGCTTATGTTCTGGCAGGTTCGAGGATAAAGAAGTTCAAAGGGATATGAAGCTTGTTCCTTATAAGATTGTGAACAAGGATGGCAAGCCTTACATTCAGGTTAAGATAAAGGATGGGGAGACCAAGGTCTTTAGCCCAGAGGAGATTAGCGCTATGATTCTTACTAAGATGAAGGAGACAGCTGAAGCATTCCTTGGGAAGAAAATAAAGGATGCTGTTGTTACAGTTCCTGGTAAGCCTATTGCAATTTTAATGAAGAATTTTTTGTTCTACCATATATTTTATTGTACTGATAATATCCTATCTGTTTAACCTGCAGCATACTTTAATGATGCCCAGAGGCAAGCCACCAAGGATGCTGGTATAATTGCAGGGCTTAATGTTGCAAGAATTATTAATGAACCAACTGCGGCAGCCATTGCCTATGGTTTGGACAAGAAGGGTGGTGAGAAAAACATTCTTGTCTTTGACCTTGGTGGTGGGACATTTGATGTCAGTATCCTGACAATTGACAATGGTGTTTTTGAGGTGCTTTCAACAAATGGAGACACTCACTTGGGAGGTGAGCCTTTGCTCTTATTTTTCCAGTATTTCTAGGGTAGATGAATCTAATGCCACAATGGATTAATGGATTTGCATTCATCTGAAAATTATTAAATTGCAGGTAGTTAGTTAACTTCAATTGTTTCCTGATAATCTATTCCCATGCAGGTGAGGACTTTGACCAGAGGATCATGGAATACTTCATTAAATTGATCAAGAAAAAGCATGGAAAGGATATCAGCAAGGACAACCGGGCACTTGGGAAGCTCAGGAGAGAATGTGAGCGTGCCAAGAGAGCTTTGAGTAGCCAGCACCAGGTCCGCGTGGAGATTGAGTCACTTGTTGATGGTATTGATTTCTCTGAACCTCTCACCAGAGCAAGGTTCGAGGAGTTGAACAATGATTTATTCAGGAAGACCATGGGACCTGTGAAGAAAGCCATGGAAGATGCTGGTCTGGAGAAAAACCAGATTGATGAAATTGTTCTTGTTGGTGGAAGCACCAGAATTCCCAAGGTTCAACAGCTCCTTAGGGACTACTTTGATGGAAAAGAGCCAAACAAGGGTGTGAACCCTGATGAGGCAGTTGCATATGGTGCTGCTGTCCAAGGAGGCATTTTAAGTGGAGAGGGTGGTGATGAAACCAAAGGTATGCTTTTTCCTATAATAATGTAAGATAATGGAGTAGTCTTACCTTTTGTTGGTGCTATGAATGAATTATAATTAACTTGTGCAAAAATGGATCCAGATATTCTTCTGCTAGACGTTGCACCCCTCACTCTGGGTATTGAAACTGTTGGTGGAGTGATGACTAAGTTGATTCCAAGAAACACCGTTATCCCAACCAAGAAATCTCAAGTCTTTACCACTTACCAGGATCAGCAGTCCACTGTCTCCATTCAGGTGCAGTTCTTTTAGGATTAATTACTTTTCAGCTGTCATAGTTGGAAATTATCCCAATAATAACCCAATTAATATAATGGTTGATTGTGCACAGCTATTATGCTGTTACTGCTTGAATCTTACTTAGGTTGCTTTTGATTATTAGGTATTCGAAGGTGAAAGGAGTCTCACAAAAGATTGTAGGTTGCTTGGAAAATTTGATTTAACTGGAATTCCTCCAGCCCCAAGGTAGGTTGGTGGCTTTTTGTTAGTCTCTTTGTCACTTGATTGTGATCTTCGCTGCAACTCTCAACGTTTGATCCATCAATTTGAACAGGGGAACCCCTCAAATTGAGGTCACATTTGAAGTTGATGCAAATGGTATCCTAAATGTCAAGGCAGAAGACAAGGGCACTGGAAAATCAGAGAAGATCACCATCACCAACGACAAGGGTCGGCTCAGCCAGGAGGAGATTGAGCGAATGGTTCGTGAGGCAGAAGAGTTTGCCGAGGAAGACAAGAAGGTGAAAGAGAAGATTGATGCCCGTAATGGACTGGAAACTTATGTGTACAACATGAAGAACCAGATCAATGACAAAGACAAGCTTGCTGACAAGCTTGAGTCTGATGAGAAAGAAAAAATTGAAACAGCTGTGAAGGAGGCCCTTGAATGGTTGGACGATAACCAGAATGCGGAGAAAGAAGACTATGATGAGAAGCTCAAGGAAGTAGAAGCCGTTTGCAACCCCATCATCACGGCTGTCTACCAAAGATCTGGTGGAGCTCCAGGAGGTGGAGCAGCTGATGAAGACGAATCCCATGATGAACTCTAAGTCCTTTTGACTAATGAAAAAAGAAAAATTGACCACTGCCGGGAGAGCAGGAGCCAGAAAACGAGGATATAGACTAGGGTAAGTTGAGGATACTGTAATTTTTCTTGATGGGGTAGAAGTTAAAGGGAGAAGAGTATCCCTTTCTTCTAATGTTTTTTTTTTTTTTTTTTGGGTCGAAAATACTTATCCTTTTTTCTTAATTTTACTAGTTGTATTTTCTTTTGATATGTTAGAATGAACAATTTGTCAATTCCCTTGTGGGTCTATGAATCAATCTTTGATGGTTGAATATATTCATCTTAATCCTTCCGTGCAATTTAACACCTTTTATTTTATTGACTTTGAATTCACATGTTAATAAATAACGTAGGATTTCTCTCAGGCGTAAAATAAATAAGTAATGGGCTTAATTTTTTTAAAAGAAATTTTCTTTTGCTGGTCTTCTCATGCCGCTTTGCATTGCACGTGATAGTAATACAGTCTTGCGATAAAACCATTACATGTTCCCCCTCTGCCAATCCTGTAAAATTGGATTTCTTTCTTCACTCTGATTTAACAAAAAGAAAATTGTCCGAGTCATTTATGCATGAAGTTGCCAGGAGCATATTAAAAGTCTCTCAATAACCAAAGCCTATTTATATAAATGGGAATTGTACCTAATACTCGCGCAACAATTGGACATCCACAATTTGACCTTGATGGAAAAATCACAATATCATTTAAAATTTTTTTGTCCATGTTTATTCTTTTAAAATTAATTAATTATTTGTCATTTATAGTTTACTCACATATTGTCTGACATACAACTAATAATACCCAATTTTAGATTTGTATTCAACAACTGAGATGACACAACCATAAAACTATAAGTAGATTTTATGGTATTAACCCTTTCAAGTTGGTATTATACAGGATCCAAAAAATGAGATAAGCAACAACTACATGCAAAAGAGCATGAGGAACTCAACTTCCTCGTTCCATTATATTATTGATTGTCAGACAAACAAAAACAAAAAAACAAAAGGTTGGAGATCAAATTTGTTTAATTTAATCTTTTTTTTTTTGAGTTAAAGCCCAGCTCTAGGATCTCCGGAGCCTGCTGCAACAACTCCTATTCCACCTCCAACATGTGAGGTAGTGCCTAATTTTTCGTGGTCACCATCTAACTCTCGTACAAGCTCATCAATCTTGCGAAACTGATATGGCCATCTTGCATTGTAGAGGAACTGACGCAGATCAAATCTGTTATCCTCAGGCGAGTAACTCTGCAATAAGTATGCGTGGATCGGGTTTCTCCAGAGTCAAGCATTCATACATTTGGAGGAAAATTTAATGCAACTTTCAAGTGCAAGAAAATTTTAGTGAGTAGAGATTATGTACCTCAGCATGGTATGAAGGTGTAAGTACAGTCATTTTGTGTCTATTAATGGAATAGTACTTGAAGAAGTGCTTGACTTTATCAGCCACCTCCAAAGGGGTTAGTTTTGCACCCCATTTATAGCAGAGGTTCTGCAAGAATCAGAATCAGTGTCACATAAATGATTTTGTGTCGCGCAACAAACAGGAGTTTCTCACATAAGTACAATAAGCATTTCAATAAAACTTTCTTGTCTGGAAAGTGGATGCTCAGTCATTTGAAAAGAATCTCCAAGTTGCTGACTGAACTATGTGACTAATGTTTGCGGAGTACAGAATTTCTTCATTGGTAGACCAACCTCCACATTTCTCCATTAATCTTTTGGGTGAACAATAGTTTAGTTTGATACCCCGTCCTTCAGAAATATAATATATTATCTTTTAGGTAATATTTCAAACCTAAAGATTAAAAAAATTTATTTTGCAAATACACATTTAATCAATTAGAAAATAATATGTACTAACATAACAAAAAAGTAATCTCATATAGAGTTTTATGTGGAATTGGAACAATTTCTTCTAAGTTTCAATGGAATTGATGGCATTTAACAAGTACTATTCTAATTCCAAATAAAATTTTATGAGTTCATTTTCTATCACTTTTTAGAAAAGATTTAGGCTATTCTTTAGTTGAATTAAATGTGAATTTACAAATAAATTCCATAAATATTTGTTTCAAACATTATTTTACTTTGTGCAAGGTAGAGAAAATAAATAAGATCTAGGAAAAATCTCTAAGGTCAAGTTTGATTCAATTATAATTATATTCCTAACTAAATTCCTAGATCTAATTATCATTTTCTAGAGGAATGCAAGTATAAGTACTTTTAATAATCATATCTGTAACAAAAGTAGGAATTGAAAATCCCACTTTAAAGAATTCTAGGTGGGGATGAGGATACTTCCAAACTTTGATTCAATTATCATTCAATTCTTAACTAATTTCTAAATTTAGTTATCATATTTTCTTTTAGAAGAAGATGAGTACAAATATTTTTTCAATTATCATATTTGTATTAAGAAGTAGGAAAAACTGTAATACCAACAAATTTGAGGCGAGATTGAAGATTAGTCAAAAATAAAAATATGTAGTAGTTACGCATTGGAATACTAGTTTGGTAAGCAACTAAGAGAGTAACGGGAATTGAACCAAACAGGATATAAAAGTTTTTTAAATGAGAGCATAAAACCAAATGCACAATTTTGGGGAGAAAAATTATTTTGGTCACTAATCTGCGAGGAGCTCTTTAAATCCTTGTATATGGTTATAATAAAGAAAAAGAGTATTTCTAGGAGGAGAAAACAATAAAAAGAATAAGCATTAGAAATAGAAATTGTAAAAGTTTTGCGAACGCTGTTGGAGATAATGGATCAAAATCAAACCTTGAACATTGATAACGGACCACAGCGGAAAATTTTCCGCAACCTTCCATAAACTGAGAGTTCCTCGTATGTCATTCCCATATCCACTTCATCCAACTGTTACAAGCAGAAGGCAGCAGTTTTATTTTGAGGCAAAATATTGAGAACTAAAGAGTGCAAAGAGGGAGAAAAAGGTCAGAAATCCAGAATCTCAAATATAAGTTGTACTTGGTTTAAACATTTATCTTCCCATTCAATTCCTAACTTAGTTATGTGCTATGAAAAGTTAAGTAACATTTATATAATCCATATGTAATTCAATCAACTTCACTCATATCTTTAATTTCACGATGATAAATTTCTATTCCTACATGTGAAATGAATCATAAAAATATTTGAGTCAAACTCAATAATAACATTATATGGAAACTTTTCAAGGCAGGAATAAATATAAAGAATGGTAACATTAGGTGGGTGTTTGGGATTTGCTTTATTTGCTGCTTATAAGCAACTCTGAAACCCTACTCTAATCTCGGCATTTGGTGACACAGACTGAAGAGCTTTTATTAGGTTTTTTGAAAATGATTTTACGACCACAGAAACTAAGGGTGTTTGGAATTTGCTCTAGGAAATGTTATTAAAGCACTAAGTTACTCTAAGTTACTTAAATTAAATCATTCTCATTTAAAAAATAAACAACTATGCATTTAGAAAAAATGTGGATTTACCTTCTAAGTAACTTACAACCTCCTACTTTATCTCCATTTCTTTCAGCAACCCAAACACCCTTTACCAGTATATTTAGAAGGAATGAACAGTCTTTATTGAATTTACTTGGAGACGTATAACTATTTCAAAGAGGATCAAATTTAATTTCAAATGAATTTCTAAAGTGAAATTGAATCAATACATTTCAAAACTCCCATAATAAAAATACATTTCATATGTTGTTAATGAATTCCACAAAAATTGTCCATTTGCTTCCAACTTACCCAAAAATAAATATCACAACTTGCAACTTCAGAATTACCTAAAGCAGTCAAGAGGGAAACATTCATGCAGTTGAGAAAAAAAGGATTTTTTAATAGATACCTGGCTGTAGTTGGAACGAATAGGCTCCAGCTCAGCAGTAGGTGGAGCTGCTTCAATTTCTGCCAAGGATGAGTATCCTAGATGGGTGGCAGCCCATCTCAGGAATGTTCTAAGGTCCTGCTTACTAATACTTCCAATAGGATTTATGTCTGCTGAGCTGCAATCATACTGTGAAAAGATAATACCATTAAAAGTTTGACAAAATATTCAACAAACTAGTACAATATCTCCATAATTAATATTTACTTGAAATGTTTTGGAGAAAATATGAGAATTTGAATCCTCTTAAAATTGTCTAGTACCTTTGTTAGATAGCCACGCAATCCTTCATCCACATTCGAGCTTCCTAAAACAAGAAAAAAGCCAGGCTTGTTATGAACCCAAGGCAAGAGAGAAGCTAGCATAAAAGCCAGCACCATTCTTATCCGAGCTTGAATGTTCTGCAACCCCAGGTTCTCAATATTAGATCCCCCATCTACCTGTAAAGAGAAACTATATCAAACATCTATTTCAAAATAGTAAGTTAATATCTAGGATCCAGTAAATCCTCATTTAGAAGCCACTTGCAAGCTTGCAGTAAGACATAGCTTTGAATCACTCAATCAAAAAAATCCACTTGGAAACAAATTGTAATTATTTCAGGAAGATATATGGACAAAAATATTGACATTTCATTGATGATCTGAATTTTCATGCACAGGATCAAAAGCATACAGACTAGATTTCTTGCCCAACCAGGAGAGCATCGCAGAAGTGCCATCTAAACAGATAGCTCTGGATCTAGGATTTGTTCTTCCGGTTTGCAGTTGGAGGTGAATGAACACATAAATAGACAAATTAACAAGGAAAAGGGAAGGGAGAAGGGAGACAAATAATGAAAAAAGAGGTAGACCTTGTTTTACCTTATAGCGTGGCCGTTTTCCCGTGAGGGTTTGAAACAAAGATAGCAATGCGGAAACAACACCATCAATAGAAACATCAAGATGCCACGAACCTATCTCATCTGCTAGTGCCTTTGCCCGCATCCTAGTTGCTTCAGAGCTGCACGAAATTGGGGAAACATAAAAAGCTGTTAATGCACTCGACTTATCTTGATTTCAAGGATTTAGAACTGTGATTTTCTTTTCTTCTTCTTTTTTCCTTTTGTTTTGAGGAAGAGAAGTATGAATTTTCTTAAAACTGAAAGAAGTCAACAACTGAAATCAAGTAAATAGAAACTAAATATCATGATCTCTGTCTTAAACTCATTTCCTGCTGTCATCTTCTCTTGTTTAAAAATAGTTTCTCCTCAATTACCCATTATGTTATTCTTTTACTAATGAATCCTCTCCGAGAGAACATACAAAATAGTTATATTTGACAAGAAAGTATTTTGTGATTAACTTTTTCCTTCTGACGTTAAGACTTGATTAGTATAGGTATAATATTAGTAACAGTCTAACCATGATATGTTCAATTCTAAAAAGAACTAGGTCTTAGGTTCTTCAAAGTAGAAGAGGAACAAATTTTTGGACTTCAATCAAAATGAGGAACTGCCAAAGATCTGTACAATTTAAAACCACAATCAAGAAAGTAAATTGGTCTTTCCTTATTGTAATGGCAAGTTCTATTAAATCATTATTACTACTAACTGAAGTAAGCGGCAGCGTAGCCCATTTATTTACAACAGTCAATAAAGAAGAATTCAGCAAAAAAATCACAGAGAAGAAAAACTCAGACCATGTAAAGATACTCACCTGTTTTCAGATCCCATATATACGGTATAAAATATGCGATTTGCAAATTCTTTGCTATCAGTAGGAAACTGTCCATCAGTATAATGTCCGATCCGTATTGCATCAGCTTTCACTTGTTCATCCCCATTTCTAATCTCTACATGCAATGTGCATTGCCAACCAAAGAATGGATAATAATCAGATGATGCAACACATAATTGTTTCAGGTTGCATTAGACAGGAAAGAGCTGTTCTTTCTTGTCAGTGCCTCTGCTGCACCTTCTAACTTATGCTGGCAGAAAGGACAGACAGCATGTGAATACTCTTAAAAATTTTCTACTCAAACACCCCAATATACATATATGTATTACTAGAAGTAATTTCGACTTAGAAGCTTTCAGGAAAGTGTTAACCAAGCAAGCCAGTCTTAGTCAGGTTAGCATCCCTTTTTTTGTCCAATGAGAATATTTTCTTCAACAGTGACCTTCGTGTCTAAAAATATAATCAAGTCTCTTAAGGGACCAATTGCTGGATATAGTCATGCATAGCAAGTGGTACCAAACTCTGCACGCAAGACTAAATGGCAATAAGGCAGATGCTATTTTTGCTTGACAGGAATCAACCTTTGATAACTCATATGAGAGTGGACTTACAGAAAGAGAGAAGCTGATATTTCCATTTCCCTGAGTTGTGATTAAAAGGGTGTTGGATCATGTTTGTAGGCAAGAAAGTTTGACCAGGCCCTATGATTCCCTTGTCTGATGATAATTCTGTTTTTTGAATTTTGTTTCACGTGCTTCCTGTTTTGCATCTCTCCTTTTAATAACTAACTTCCAGGATTAGCAGATACAATAACTACCATTTCCTACTTGTCGAATGGGAATTTATGAAGCACAACATCTCTGGTACTCAGATTTTCACTTTTTAGTTATCCTTGCATTGGTATATATCATAATAGATTCTGCCCTTGCACTTGGTTGTCCCTAAGGTGTTTAAAAACCCTGACTGGTTGACCAGCCTAAGTTAGCCTTTCGATCATAATTTCATGCTCACCGCCAAAAAAATCTCTGATCAAATAGTTTAGCTGAAAGCCCCAAATCCTAGTTCAAACATCCTATAGATTATAGGGGAACTACTACACTGAAATTCATGGTTATCATGATTAACAGCATCTCACCTATTAACTCGTTCTGAAACAAGAACTTCCAAGGGACGAAAACATAGTTAGTAGGATGCCATACAAAATATTTGACCTTTTAAAACTAACCTTTTACAACGAGTTGGCACATGCAGCCAACAATAGCAGCCACAGAAGAGCTATCTGCCCCACCAGAGAGAGGAACCAAAAATCCAGAAGCTCCACTCCGTCTTAGGTAGTCCCACAGCCAGCAACCAGGTCCAAAGGCTATTTCCTCCTCGGGAGAGTGATACATGATCTACAATTTTATCTCATGCTAAAATAAGAAAATCTAAATATTCTGCAGAGAAGTATTAGTATTAAGGAGATAGGAAAAAGACTTGAAATGGCTCCTAGTTCCTTGCATTAGTTATTGTAAAGATGATTATAGAAAAGTCATGCATAGATCACATTAACATGTATGTTTGGGTGGGAGGAAAATATAAATGTACACGAAAATTATAATCAAGTTCTATCTTCGTAAAGCAATCAAGATAAGAAGGGCCAACATCTTAGCAAAAGTATTAGGACAAAATCTAGTTACAGACAAACCAGACAATTTAGCAGTTCATGTTCTCAGCACATCAAAGGGAAAGTAAAACACCAATTTTTGAATTCCATTTACATGGTCACTAACAAGAACAGAGAAATAGAAACTAAATTAACAAATTTTGGTGTTTGCATTAAATAATCTTCAACCAAATGTACCTATGGGAGAAAGACTGACCTTCAATGGACTGGACAACGACATTTTCAGGTTGAAAGGCAGACAAATGTTACATGGAACTGCAACTAATGGTACTTTCTTCTTGCAGCTTGCCTGTTCTTGAAAACTACTGATAGATCCTCTCAGACTAGCAACCTGTCGTGAACAAACAAGCACCAGAACATTTTAAATATACATCAGAATGACATATTTGCTAGAGTGAAGTATCTCTTTGTATTTTAAAAATATAACGACACATCGAGGCACTAAAATGAAACTTTAACATACCGCATCTAGGTCTACTTGAGCAATTACAACCTCAACATCCTTCAATGAGAACTGTGAACCCTGAGCGACCACATCTCCATTTACAACAACACAAGAACATCCATCTATAACAAATCAAGTACAACTGCATATTTCAACACATTCTCTCCCATGTATGTAAATTCTTCAAGCAAATAACAAAGAACTGTAAGTCACTAAAGATTGTAAAGAGATACCCAATGTTAACATATGCAGCTTAACATAGTACTTGAAACTATTTCATAATAATTGAAAATATATAAATATCTAATGCACCAAGCATTTTATATACCATAATATAGGCGACCACCATCACATCCTTGGTGATTACTGTACATATACACGCCTCCTTGAGTATGAGTTGCACCTATAAAAGCACGAAGACGAAGGTCTAACTTTCTCAACTGATGATGACTTCCACTTGCATTCATAAACACTTCAACTCCATTAAGTGCAAGCTCGGTATGAGGGGGAATAGGAGTAAAAAGCTCTTCACAGACTTCAGCTGCAACAGCTTTAATATAAAAGGCAAGAAATTAGCATTACATTTGTATAAAGGAGGGACAAAAGTTTTCATGTTAAATTTACTTGTATGCAGAAATATAATGGTAAGCACTACACAAGGTTACAGGTGACTGTGGATGCCACATTAAGCTTCCTGGACCTTCTGTGTATATAGTTTCATATTGAAAGATAATCATTTGAGCAGATATAATGAAAGATATTACTAAGAAAACGATACCCAAAGAAGAAAGTTCTTGCTTACGTGTCTAGAAACTGAATATATCCATAACCAAAAGGCACTGCCTTCTGTGACAAAGCCTCAGAAATTTCGCTTGGGAGTTGAAAGTCCTCAAACTGATCTCGCTGCTTCCATGCTGTAAACCAACGGAGCTCCCTGTAATTGCCATCATTGGCAAGCCACATTTTTGGACGTATCATGACAATTTTTCGGTTGAAACACAAAACTTGACAATTGTAACGCTCAGATCCTTTAATGACAGGCATTCCTATGCTGCACAATATGCCATCAGTCCAGTCACCAAGCAATAATTCTTTCAGGCACTCCCATCTGCAAGCTTTCCAAAGTATACATGAAATTAGAACCCATCACCAGGCTGCAGGCAGTTAAAATTAATATAAGCAGTATTTCTTAATGTCCCATTTTACATAAAATTGGAGGACATTCCAAAAGATCACTACGAAATACAAGTAAAAACGATGTCAAATTCCACCATTTCGTTTTGTGCCCCAGTTTCTACACTTGTAGGTAATTACTGTAGATCAACAATCCAACTTTTAACCAAAATTTAATTTGACCAAGTTTTAATCAGTTCAAAAATTAACGACCACCATTTGGAAAAGGAAAAAGAAAATACAGTTCAACTAAACTGTCAGTGCTTCCTCTCAATTAATGAGACCCTATTAATCCAACAAGAATAAGCGTTCGTTTTTAAAATCGGCAACATAAGAGATATGCTGATCGCGAATTTTAGCGCTCAATTTCTCGTAAAGACTAAACAATGTGATTGTGAAATATCGAAACCATTGAACTAAGTCGACGCCCACCAAAAAGCATAAAAACAAAATTCTAATTCAAAAGAAGAAGAACAGAATATGAAAGCGGTGAAACTCACGAATGAGTAACTGTGTCGAGCTCCAAGAAATGATCCTCACAGCCATAACCAGTGACCTCTAGCTCAGGGCCAAGCCGAATAACTGCTCCAGCCTTCTTAGCTGTAGCTATTGACTCCTTTATGTGCTTCATATTGCAATCAAAATCCATAGCCCACTGATTCAAGTTACACGTCGCCACTTTCAACAGCCTCATCTCCACTCTTAAAAACGCACAGAAATAATATTAATCCTCTCTTTCTTTCCACTCAAACAGAAAACAGGCCGACCAACGAGGAAATGGAAAACTAGCGGCCAAGTTTAATTGCCGCGAGAAGCCAAGTTTCTCTGAGGAAGGAGCAGCTGACTAGCTTGAGGAAATCCGTGGCTGGCAATCTGTAATATATATATATATATATGGGGGATAATTTTCGAAGTTCCTTAATTATACGTTTATTTATTTAAAATTTAATTTTCTTTTCCGGAAATAATTAAAATATAAAATTTTGAGGTTGAATTCTTGATTTTTTTTTTTTTAATATATACGGCATATGGAAGTGACTTCGGGTTCGAACTTTTGAATTTTTGACGTATACGGTGAGCCGGGTTAAATAGGAAATGTGGAAACTGGAAATCCACTTTTTCTTTTTTCTTAATTGGACAAAGAATTGATTTTAGCAATTAACTACTTGTGATTCGTGTTTTCTTACTTCAATCACATTATTATATAGCATAAACATTAAGTTCGTTTATCCAATACTTTTACATTTTTCAATTAATTTTTATTTATTAAATATCACAAACAATATATTTATCATGTGGCAACAAGTTAAACACATGATTTTCTTTTTTGTTCGAATAAATTTTTTTATTAAACATCATATAACATCTTATAGGTATATGGTCATTTAATTTTATAATTATTTTTAATTAAAAATTTTAAAAATAGAGAAGATATTCCAATACTCCTCTTAAAACTCACTACTCTTATAACGGCTTGGAACTTAAAAAAAAATAAAATCATAAATTGAATGCAGAATCAAAATAATAGAGTTAGAGTTTAGATTCCTTACAAAATAGTTTAAAATACCCAATAGGGTTACGGAAATGTCTCTTCTAAAAATAAAAAATAAAAATCAAAGAAATAAACGAAAAGTAAACAACTGAGCATCCTAAAACGACATTCACTGTTTTTGAAAGGAGTCTGGGTGGCGAACTATTCACAACTCTCTTGTTAATTGGGATCTATATCTTGATTCTCTTAATCTGAAATAGTTAATGAAATAGTGAGCTATACTAGTCTAGTAAGAATATTACACTACTCACCGATACAGAAACTGAAAGTTAGTAAAAGTTATAAAAATAACCAATGAAACTCTTAATTTAAGTAAATTCATTTATCATAAAGAAAACTATTTATTACATATATTTACCGTTGCGAGATTTTTAAAATCAACCTCTAGAAACAATAACCCAAATAACATTTCAATCTCATATTCAAGTGAGAAAGAACAATAATTTTTCTTTTTTTATTTGCCTACTGATATCCCTTAGACCCATAAGGATGTCATACTACGTGTGAACCAATATTCAACATTTTTAACTAACCGACCATCCTCATACCCCTTCCGGTATGAGCGCAAAAAATATCATTCCTCAATATCTCGTCCGGTATGAGGGTGAATCGGACCGTCTTCATACCCCTTTCAGTATGAGCACCAAAATATCAATCATCGATACATCATCCGATATGGGACAACATTTACGGTAGGATTTTTCTATGTACTTTGTCCATCCATCATCTCTCAAGATGTCTAGTAAGGCTATCATTCATTAATTCACATGACCAAACAATTTTTTGTTTGCATATTAATTACCAATTTCACAAATCAACCGTAAATCACGCAAGACAAATAATATATATATATATACATATCAAGAAAACACAATTGAATCATTTAATCATTCTAGTATATCATCATATATTTAAAGCTGTAAATTCAACCATCAGTTAAATAGAATAACAAATAAAGGACTAACCGGTTTCCAGCTCCATTGGTAACTTGTAATTATTCTTAAAGTTTTCTAAATTATACAAAATATCATATTACTGATTATTAAGCTTTAATTCCATAATAGGGAATAAGGTGATGGATTATTACCCGAATCGGTGTCCGAAGCATAAAATTTTCTACTGCGCCTACTGACGGTCCCCGAATTTCCTGAATTTTTCTACAGAGATTAAAATACGCTTCACGTACCTAAAAATATCCTAAAAAACTCAAAATCAGTGTTAAAAATCTTTTTCAGCCAATTTTTAAATTCCAGTGCCATCGCCAACGGTGGCGGTTTGTCTCGGGTTAACTATTTTTGGTCAGTTTTGATCGGTTTCGGTCGATTTTATACTCATCCATGTGAGAAAACACGTTAAAAGGTCTTAGTTGGACCAAATAAAGTCAAAAAATAAAAACTTACCGGCGGTGGAATTTTCCAGTGCGGCGGCTCTGCTGGCTCACCTTTGCAGTTGGGCATTTTTCTTCAGTCAACTATAGAAAATAGAATGGTGAACACAATGGTAAAAAAATCACACGAAACGGAAAATAGAAAGGGGCTCATCGGAGGCGATTTCAAGTTTTTCCTATGGTGCCGTCCCGGGCTTTACTCGTAATTTTCGGCTCATCCACCATTTCTTTTACTCTAATTTAGCTATGAGGGTGCTCGAAATTCCGAGCGGATATGACAATTTTTACCTTTTCTGATGGTCGGAGGTGGTTCCAGCGCGGTGGCGGGCAACAGTCGGCTCCCTTCTCCAGCGACTGGTCCTTCTTCTCCAACGGAAGGTTGGCGACTAAGGTTTGGGTTCGGTGTGATGCAAGATATTTATACATGTCTCCCTTAAATTTGGGTCGTTCATCGCATTTGATCTCGACCGTCTGATGGCATTTAAAGAAAAAATGAATTTAGATCATTCATCGCGATTTGATATCGACCGTCCGATCATATTTAAAGAAGGAACGAATTTGGACCGTTCATCACATTTAATCATGACTGTTCGATTGCACATAAGGAGAGAACGTATCTAGACCATCTACGCGTGCAGGAACGCTTTCGAGCCTTCCAATCGTGGGCACACGAATTACCAACGTGGCATGCCACATGGCACCGAGTCAGCATGACTTGCCACGGGCGCGCTCCCGGTTCGTTGGGGCTGCTGACTCGGTAGTCTTACGTGTTACAATTTTTTTTAATTACGTTTTTGACCCTCCAGTTTCTAATTTTTTCTTTTAAAAACACCATCCCGAACCCAAATTTTCACTTTTTTTTTTTCTCAAATTGTTTTCAAT